ATAAAAAAAATTAGCATAAAAAAAACAAAAAAAAAAAAACAGATACATTCTATTTACCAATTAACTAGACTTTTATATGTTTTTCAACTATTAAGGATTTCAAATCTCTGGTTGAGTAATTCATTAAGGTTATTGTAAGATAGGTAATTTTTCTTCCATACATAGGAGGCAATATCTATCACTAACCTTATATTTATGGCTTTTGTTTTTTTACTATCTCTTATTTTAATATAGGATCTATACCTTGCTGCTTTTTAATTTTCCACACATAAACTAGTCCTATGCCTATTTTTATATATTTTATGTGCAAATCTATTTCAATGGTTCTAATATCTTTTTTTGAAGCCTTAAAGAACACCTGGTTTAAAGTGGTTTCCCCACAATGTAAGTAAGGGAAATCCAAATTTTCTTTAGAACTCATCATTTCAGTGAATAAATATCAACAACACTGTGTTAAAAATGAAAAACAGGATCTGTCTATATTTCTGAGATGAGGTATTATTTACATTATTTGGACTATTGTCTTCATCTTTGTCGCCATATTTATTACAATATTTCGGCCGTTGTACACTCCGGCCTTCTTCAGGTGGTTAATGTCGAACTGAACCCTTTATTTCACTCACTGGGGTAGATAGTTGCACGTGCCATGTTTAATAGATGTCAGTTATCAGTTATCTCCTGTTAATTAAAGAGTGTGAGTTCAATACCCGGTTAAAGCAGTGGAGAACTTTCAGAGGGAAATTAACAGGAGATAACTGACATCCATTATATATGATGATCCGAAGTTCTTCAGTCATTTTATTTTTAAAAAACAGTGCATGATACAGAAGTAGAGCTTAAAATTATAATTATTTTTTTTTTTTTTTTAAATATTAAATATTTTTAAAATTATTCTCTCTGAAATTATATATATATATATATATATATATATATATATATTAGTCAGTCACCCACAAACAGACTGTTTAGCTGTATCATAGCTCTTCAATGTGGCTAGACATCCAATTACTTCAGGTTGGGATCAAAACTCTACCAATTTGGCATCAGAGATCCTACCCCTAAGCACACAGCAAAGAGAAAGGGAAATTTTTCAGTGTTTTTTCTATACAAAATATACCAGTGGCCAGGAGAACTCAATTCGTACTTGAAGACTAATGAATTAGTAGCAGCACCTGCTGTTTCTTAAATCTTTGTTTATTATATATACATACAATATATATAACTTTTACATCTGGACAAAAACAACTTGCTCACTACAAAGATGCATTCTTGTTTCGATGCGGCTGCATCTTGACTGGTTAGAACCAAAAATGCTTATCCATTTTTTCCAAATAACCATTTTTGGTTCTCACTAGTCAAGATGCAGCCACATCAAAACAAGAATGCATCTTTGTAGTGAGTAAGTTGTTTTTGTCTGTATGTAAAAAGTACAATAAATAATTATTGCTCTACTTTTGGTATCAAGCCCTCTTTTAAATTAATGCTGTGAACATTAGAATTTATATTATTTTCATTCTCATTACATTCACATATATATATATATATATATATATAATGACACAGGGAAGGTGAGTCAAAACGAGACCTTTTCCGCATCATCTCGTATTATAATCTCTATCTATAAAAGGTAGGATGTGTATGTATGTATAACAAATGCATAGCTGCAATTTTTGACGGATTTTCATCAAAATTTACATGCACATACTCCAAGTTAGCGGGAAGGCCAAGACTGACTTTACATTTCCCAACTCTCATCGATAGTGGAAATAATCGATTTTTTTCATGTAGTTTGCAGCCATTTTCTACTGGCCAGAGTGGGAGCCTATAGCTGGCTGCCACTAATAGGCAGAAAGATTTTATTGGCCAGCATGAGAGCCAACAGCTGACTGACACGAATGTTAACTAGCTAACCATGCAAAAAAAAAATCGATAGCTGCATTTGTCACAAGTGGGAAAAATTTAAACCTGCATGGCACTTCACTCCAATTGGCTCATTCGCTTGCTTAAACTCAACATTGATTCTGATTTCGCAGAACTGGTTTGGGTGTGAGAAAGTATTTGTTGTTAACATTTTTTTTTCATTCGGTTTTTCCAGTTACGAGTCCTTTTTTTAAAGCTGATTGTTTTGTGTTCATTTTGTTTAGTTCTTTTTTCATAACAGATTTAATGTTTAGTATAGAGCTTAGAAAAAATTCGCAGTGTGAGATAGGCAAGAAGTAAGGCATGTAGCAACATCAGCACGGCAAAGGGCACTCCTTTAAAGGCAAGAAAGGGCAAAAATATTTTAAGTCAAGTGATAGTGATTGCTGTATGAGTCTTACGATTTTTGAATCAAGCACGGGCAACGCTGGGCCATGCTGCTAGTATACAGTAAAAAGATAATCATTGTACATCCAAAACTCTCATTAAAGATGACCAGGGGTGGGGGACGAGATCATCAACATGAAATGCACCGGTAAGCTTGGTAGACATTTTGTTTTCTTCTTTTCCATTGCACACTTATCTTCACAGATTTTCTTCGTTCTCTGAGGATTTTGACAAATTCATGTGATTGTATTTTTATGCAAAAATTAATATTGAAGCCAGGCAATCCTCTTCAGCTTGGCCCACGTCATGCCAGCTGCGGCAAGGGCTTGTGGAATATCCTAGTTGATCATTATTAATGTGATCATTATTAATGTTGCAGAATAGTAACATTAGTTAGATTATTCTTTGTCGCCATATTTATTACGTTTCAGGTGGTTGGAATGTTGAACTGAACCCTTTATTTCACTAACTGGGGTAGACTGTTCTAGTTCCACATGCCAAGTCTCCAAGTTCTCCACCACCAGGTATTGAACTCACACTCTTTGGGTACTGTCACTGGATCTAACCAACACCTTTATCCACTGTGCTATGTGTCCTTGAGGACATCTGTGTATGAATTTCTGGGTATTATAAACCTAATGACTTCAGCAACCGTTTTTTTTACCAGTGCTCATATTGCTATTTTGTGCTGTTATCAATTCTTATTTTTACCAGAGTTCATATTGCAATTTTGTTGTTATTATCGCTTTTCTCTGGCACTCCTTATTACTGGTTTAAGAACAAGAGAGAAAGAACAAAAGAGATGAGAAAAAGAAAGAAAAAAATGAAGGAAGGAAGATATATGGGCATTGCTTATAATAATGAAAAAAAACAACAAAAAGAGAAAAATCTTGTATTTCTTCTTCCCAAACCTGTATAAACAAATAAAACTTGCTTTTAAAAAAAATACTTACATTATCTTATATCAAGAAAAATCCAGTTTTGTTTCACTTTCTTTTATTTTTATTTTTTTTAGAAGCTATTTGGCTTTTTTGACAAGTTTTCAGGTCGATGAATATTTGTGAAAGATTTTTACAACTCCAGTTGCTTAAATTGTTTCTGTGCTTCATTTAATAAATAGAAAAAAAAAAAAAAAAATTTCAATGTTGACAAAACAACCACAACTGCTAGAGTTTTGAGAACAGACTATAAAATAATGGATTTAGTAACGTTTTTGTTTAATTTATTTTGAGCAGCTTAAGCCATACTGATGGCTAAGATTTCTTTCATCTTCCTTTGAATTGCTTTAAATTCACTAATAGTCATGGCAACTACTCTGGGGAGATCCCCAACTTGTGTCCTGACTACGTGAATTTAAGTATGTTACTAGATTGGCAATTTGTACTTAAAAAACTACTGACAAAGAAAGCGTTAACAATATTAAAAACGCACAGAATGATTAACATGTATATATCTCTTAGGTCTACATATATACATAGTTTTCTGATATTTTTATATACCAATCAGATTTTGTATATCAGTTATTTAGGAAAACTTTTTACCTACATACCCACATATACCAACCCATGAATAAAGTTTGCTAACACAAATCAAATGATCAAAAAAATATAGAGAGCACCACATAAACACAATGAGATATATATATAGAGAGAGAGATAGATAATCATAAGAGTCATTCCATTTAAATGTCATGTCTGATGTTAGTGATCCAAAATGGAACTGTAAGTAACAACATATTATAAAACCATGTTTGTTTTAAAGCGCTTTTTATGTCTACATTTGGAAATGATCTCACTACGAAGATTCAGCAACTCATCTTGATTTTTATCTTTAATAATAAAAAAAATTTCCGCAATGCATAGATCACACCGATCGTGGAAGTTATTAGGGGTTCTAACTCTTGATAAGTATCTGCATTCGAAATGCAGAGTTAGTCCCTTATCCACCAGATGACCAAACCAGGACATCTTCTGATACTTCATAGTAGTGAGGAGAGATGCCTGTTAACCTACAAGATGTTTGACTTACATACTCTGTACATATTCATTGGTTTTGTGCTCCCAATAGGACATGTAGAGGAGATTTCTCAAGCATTTGATCTCAAATGCCCAGATTCCTTTTCCTGGCTTAACCAATAGTTTCTAAGTCTTACACTCTTATAGGAGAATGGATACGGCTACCAATTTGTAGACCTTGAATTTGGTATGAAATCTGGTGGTGTGTCCATGTTCAACAGTGCCTTGCATGGTGTCCTTGCAGAGGCTATTATGCCATGTGACGTGGCCAAACTGTGACATCTTCCGACACTTAATAGTAACAAGAAGAGATACCTGTCTGCCCACGAGACATTTGATCTTGCTCTGTATATAGTCTTTTGGTTTTGCGCTCCCAATAGGAAATTGCAGAGATTTCTCAAGCATTTGGTCTTAAATGCCTAGATCTCTTTTCTTGAAAAGTCCAAGTCTCACTCTTATATAGATATGGCCACCAATTTGTACAGCTTACATGGTGTCCTTGCAGAGGCTGTTATGTCGAGTGACATGGCCAAACCGTGACATCTGACATTTAATAGTGTCAAGAAGAGATGCATGTCAGCCCACAAGATGTTTGCTCATGCTCTGTATATAGTCATTTGGTTTTGTACTCCCAATAGTAAATAAAGGGGCTTTCTCAAGCATTTGATCTTTCTTGGCTTAGAAGAAAAAGAAAAAAAAAGAAGAAAAAGAAAGAAGAAAAAGAAAAGAAAAAAAAAGAAGAAAAAAAGAAAAGAAAAAAAAAACTCCCTTAACTAAAAGAAATAAGCAAAATTGCTTCCCTTGGTACTTACTTATAATATATGTTTGGGACATGGTTGATCATGTCTCTACAGCTTTTAACCCACTATTATTATTATTATGTACAGTGTCTCTTCAGGACGTTGGCAATCTCCACAATTTCCTGTCCTTTTTAGCTCTTAATAAATTTTGTCTTTTTGTTATTTCTCTTAAACCCTGTTCCACCATCCATTTATTCAAGCTCCTCCTTCTATATGTTGTGTCCCATCAGGATGTAGGCGACCATGGCTCTCCACAATTTCCTGTCCTTTGTAGCTCTTAATAAATTTTTGTCCTTTTGCTATCTCTCCTAAACCCTGTTCCACCATCTATTCACTCAAGCTCACTAGAGCGTTCATGTGTTGATTTCCCGTTCCCAGAGCTTTATTTTAGTTTTAATTCCAAGCTAATAGATTAAATTTAATATTTCCAATAAAACCGAAATACTTTGCTATATTTCAAACCACATTTAAATTGACTGGAATGTTTTTGAGTTAAAAAAAAAAAAAAGGCTAAAATCATCCATACTGACAAATCTGTGAACACAACATAATTGTCTTAATTAAAAACTTTTAAAAAATGTGCTTTTCTGAAAATTTATTTAAGGAAGATTAGTTGACTTAAAGTTTAACTAATCGGAATTCAAACAAATATTACAGAAAAGCAAAGGCAGGTGTTTTTAGCGATAACCAGAAGCTTGCAAGATTTATGTACAGGGGAAATACTTGTAAAATTAAATGATAAATACAACATTTTTTTTTAACTACCGAGTAATCTTAAATTTGAAGGATAATATTCTAATCATATATTTTATTGAATTTCAGGTACTTTAAATTTGTAGCCTTATTTACAAAGACTGTTGTTGAAGAAATGTTAAGGAAAATTACCAATTGATATCTATAATTCACAAAATATATATGTGGGTGTTATCGGATGTTGTTTATGCATTTCCAGTTCTCATTCGATGAAACGTTTTTTCTTTGATAGATGATTCTCCAGAGTCAATTTCAAATTGGCTGGAAACAATTACAATCTGATTTTTTACACTTTGTGCAAAAAATCAAAGGCAAAAATTAATGCCTGTAAAAAAAATCAGCATACAATCAATTTTGAGTTGAGATCTAATGCAAATGTGTTCAATGAAGAGACGGTCATGTAGCAATTACAGCGGGTGTTCAATGTGTGGCTGCACAAGGCAACAGGCATGCAAAATAACATTTTTTGGAGTGTGGATTGATGTTGCCTCTAGCAAAATAACTTTTGTCAGGGACATCCTATTTTCGTCATTTTTCCTGTGAACAACCACTCAATTGTAGTGAACATGAAAGAAGTTTTACAAATGCAAGACATCGGTGACGTGCCCCGTTACCTAAACGTTTAAGCACCATTCTGCCTGCATACAAGTAAACCTACTCATTCTGCAATTCTATGCATCCATTTACCAAGTTTTGTTCATGTTCTCTCCATTTCATTTGCCTATTACATTTACCAATATTACTTTTTCACACATAACATTCCAATCCTAGCTCTTGCTGTGTGGGCGTGTTTCTCACCTCCACATGTTGCCCATTGGTTACTGCTGACCTTGATAATTAGAACATGCAGCAATGCGTGTACATGCGGCCCTGCCTCCCCCATCATTTCCAGCACATTGAATAACAAGAGAAAATGCATCTACATCCTAAAGAAAAATTCCCCTGACCCCAAATTCTCTCCTTACGCCGTAACAGTCCATGGAAGAGGTTTCTTCCTTGCAAGATTGAGAATGCAAAAATGGCCCTTTTCAGGACTCCCCCCATTCAAATTTTTAACCCCCCCATTTGGGGATGTACCTCATTTGCACTCAATCATTGTTACTAATATTGATTTTCGGGTGGGCTGGATTTAAACTGCTCCAATTAAACGGTAAAAATTCCCAGTAATGAAAGACCTGGTCAAAGACAGGTTATTCTGCTAGTAAATTTTAAATTTACTACAGTTACGGTTCTTGCTTTCTGATTATGCCATGTATGGCGGACCATATTAACAAACATTTATATAGGTCCATATTTTCGGCACGTTTATGTTGTGTAGATATTTTTTTTAATCATTTTGGAAGAAGCTGGAAGGTAGTTCCACAAGGAAGAAGTGCAAGAGAAGAACCTTCTAGCATAGAACTTACGGTTACATTTAACCATTTCAACTGTAAAATAATGAAACCTTGCCACCAATCTTGCACTTTGCTTGAATTCTTAATGTTTAAGCACCATAACAAGATGTTCATCTGAACAATTACCATGAAAGTATTTATAGAAAAGTCATTGAGAAGCTACATTATGGTGGTGAAAAAGTGACTAGAGCCGAGATGCCAGGTCAGGATAAATAATATTGCAGATTCTTTGGAATTTATCAAGAATCTCTAAATATATAACGGGAACACCAGACCAGATATGGAAGCAATATTCAAAGCAAGGACAAATGGTAGATGTATTGAGTTGATGCATAATTATCAGGCATTTTTTAAACAATATTTATTATGAAAAAAGAAACATAACAATTCAACAATAACATTTTTAAATGATTATTCCAGAGCACTCGATTATTTGCATGCATTTTTATAGCGATTTTCCAAGTGGAGCTTAGATCTAGCACAAGGCTGAAAGCAGGGTGCACCCAGTGAGGATCGAACTCACTATTCAGTCATAAATGTTCTAGCAAGACAAGCTTGCTAACCATTACACTAGCTTGAGGTGTCCCACATGCATTTTTATAACCTGAAAATAAAATAATATTTTTATTAAAAAAAAAAGTAAACAAAACAGCAATTTTTATTAACAAATAACTTGCCTCTGAAAACGCCTGATAATTATGCATCAACCCAATATAAATATGTAAGATAGATTCTATCAAAGAAAAATTGTCTAGGCACGGCATAGTGAACCAATTTTCTTAGCTGTAGACTTAGAAATTGATTCAATGTAATCTTTCCACTTCATATCAGCAGAAAATGTTAGACCAAGATGCAATGGCTAACTCTCCTGGAGGTTATCATCAGTTTGTTAAACAGACAAAAAATAAATGACAAATGTAACTCAAATATTTCAGTTCATTTTCTTTTTTTATTGAAAACAAATTCTTTCCAAAGAACTGACTGTTCATTCAAATTCTTGGAGATTGGAATACTTATATTTGGGTGGGGCTGGAATATAATAAACACTGCATCTATGGGAGAGAAAACGGCAAAAAGTATAGTTTCTTACACTCCTCCTTATCTTTACTGAGGACGGTCAGGTGTAGCCCAAGGATCAAGGTTCTTCCCAAGCTTGGCTTTCAGATCAGCAGTAACATCATTCATTTGTTTAAGCACCTCCTAAAAAGAGAAAGGCTTGCATGTAAAAAAAAAGTGTGGCACATTCTTTTTAATCATTTCACTCCAACCACTAGAATGCCATTGAAGTGAAAACTGCTGCAAGGAATTTGTTACATCAGCATCAAGTCGAGTTTAATGAAGCTGGTGGGATACCTGATCTTATTCATAAGTGTAACACTATCACTGAAAGTGGTGGTGACTATGTTGAGAAGTAGGAATGTGAACCTGTGATGTATGTTGAGAAGTAGGAATGTGAACCTGTGATGTATGTTGAGAAGTAGGAATGTGAACCTGTGATGTATGTTGAGAAGTAGGAATGTGAACCTGTGATGTATGTTGAGAAGTAGGAATGTGAACCTGTGATGTTTGACGGCTTTGATTGTATAATAAAATAAATTGCATTAATTTTTAACTCACCATTGTACAAATATCTAAATTTATCTGTAATTGAAAAAAACATTAGGATCTGATTGGAAGAACTAATTTTGCTTTAATAAAGCTTAAGGCAAAAAAAAAAAATTATCTTTTTTCTATTAATTAACAAAAAGACATTTGTCTGGTTTTCTGCTTATCAAATTAAATTGAAATGCTGAACTGCTTCCCACAAATCTCCATCCAAGGCTTCACTGCTCACCAATACGACCCCAGGGGAAAGTGATGATTACCAAGTGATAGAGTATTGGCAGCAGGTTACGGACACCAGTTTAAAGATGGAATGAAGCGAAATATTTCTTTCCTAACCTTTTTTTTTTTTTTAAATTTTATTATGCAAGTAATAAAATTATATCAAAAAAAAAAAAATTTCATTTTGGAAACTGTATAAAATTTTTTCAGGACAATTAAAATTATTTTCCAGGATGATGGTGAAATAAAGTTAATCTGGAGTCTTGACACATACCAAGATATTTTTAAATTAGTAGTTTGTTTTTTAAATTAGTACAGTTTTTCTTCATTAGTAGTTTTTTTTAAATTAGTATTTTTTATATTTTTTTTTTTTAATTAATAGTATTTTTTTAGATTAGTATATTTTTTTAATTTTCTTTAAATATTTCAGTGAAGGGTTAAAAAAAATAGAGGCTGTGTTTGATTATACGCCTCAAGAAAGAGAATGAATCGGCCGAAATACTTTAGTAAACACAAACACAACTCCAAAGAGTTCAATAATAATAATGAGTTCAAAACAACATGGAATCATTTATCAAAAGACAAGAAAGAAAGGAAAAGGAAAGAAAGGAAAAGGAAAGAAAGGAAAAGGAAAGAAAGGAAAAGGAAAGAAAAAGAAAGAAAGGAAAGAAAAAGAAAGAAAGGAAAGAAAAAGAAAGAAAGGAAAGAAAAAGAAAGAAAGGAAAGAAAAAGAAAGAAAGGAAAGAAAAAGAAAGAAAGGAAAGAAAGAAAGGAAAAGGAAAGAAAAAGAAAGAAAGAAAAAAAGAAAGAAAAGAAAAGAAAGAAAAAAGAAAGAAAAAAGAAAAAAAGAAAGAGAAAAAAAAAGAGACAAAAAAGAAAAAGAGAAAAAAGAAAGAAAGAGAAAAAAAAAGAAAGAAAGAGAAAAAAAGAAAGAAAGGAAGAAAGAAAAAAGAAAAGAAAAAAACTTACTTGTGATAATTTGACAATCTTTGCATTTTCTTCCACCTGTTCAGGTGAGCGTGCTCCAACAATGGTTACAGGAACATTCTCTTGCTGAAGGATCCATGATAAGGCAGCTGCAGACATTGGGATGTTCTCTTTGCTACAAATTTCTTGCAGCTTGCCCAGAGCCTTGAAAAAAAAAAAAAAAAAAATAAATAAATAAATAAATAAAAAAAATAAAAATATACATACACGTATACATTTTCATGCCATGTTTGGGTGTTCCTCATCCCTACCTGGTTTGAATTCTTGCTTTATATGCATGATTAACAAGTCTGTGTATAGACATTTGTAATTATATATATATATATATATATATATATATATATAATAGTTTATTATTTTCTACACTGAATTAAAAAACATTAAACAAACTCTCATATTAATAATTACCTAATTACATTGTCAATGAACCAATTAGATGAGCTATTAGAAATATTAATATAAATCAAAAAGAATCTAATACTTCATCAAATAAACCCTAAACATATCAACATACTATGCCGTAATCAAATACATTCTAACTATAAACAAGATGAAAATATCCTAAAAATTCTCATAATTACTAATATATTCCCCACTGATCCAAGTAAAAAAAATATTGAAAAGAAATTTTTTTTTAAATTTTTAAGAAAAAATAAAATTGCAGTTTGAATATTGTTAAAAATACATGTATACATATTCATGCCAAATTTGGATGTTCCTCATCCCTACTTGCTGGGATCCCCCCCCCTTTAAGGCACATGATTAACAAGTCTGTGGATAGACATTTGTAATAAACTGTGTGTGTGTGTGTGTGTATATATATATATATATATATATATATATATATATATATATATATATTGTTTATTATTTTCTACACTGAATTAAAAAAACCATTAAACTCTCATTAATAATGACTTTTCTTAATTACATCGTTGATGAACAAATATGGCAAGCCATTAGAAATATTAATATAAATCAAAAAGAATCTAATACTTCCTCAAGTAAACCCTAAACATATCAACCTACTATGCCGTAATCAAATACATTCTAACTATAAACAAGATGAAAAAAATCCTAAAAATTCTCATAAGCACTAACATATTCCCCAACAAACACAATCCAATCTAAACATATGGAGAGAGTGGGAGTAGTATTTAACCATAAGAGTGTTGAGATTGTCAAATGACCAAACAAAATTTTTCACAAGAATATCTTTTAGAAAATTCTTAAGATGCCGGTTCCCAAGGAGCTTTTAACAAGTTTTGGAGTGGCATTGTTGGACATCACATTGTGTGTGCAAAAGTTTCCAGCAAGATGGACACACACAAATTTGTATTCAGAAAAAAATAAACTTTAAAAACAACACTTGGAGCAGTTTTTGCATTTTAAAAAGAGTTTGTGAAGTGTTGTTCTCTTTGCTTAAGAAAGTGTTTTAAAAAAATCTAAAAAGATATGGCCTGAAAACATTTAATTGCAGCATAAACCTTTGTTCCTCAAATTTATGAATTCATTTTGATTTTAAAGGAAGTGAATACTGACTGTAATTTGGTGGTATTTTCATTTTACAAATACAAAGTTGGTTGTTAAAAATCAATTTGAAGTCTGATGCAACTTGTGAAACAAATATTTGCAAACAAGGGGAGGCTACTCTGTAATTAATCAAACTCCAAATACTAAAAAAAATAAAAACTGTATTTAAAAAGAAAATAACCATAAAACAAAGACCTATATTAAAAAAAAACAAAATATAACTTATAAATATATCATTGTTGTCAGAACTTGTTCCAGAGTATGATTTCCAAGCAACAATAAACAAGCGTCTTATATACATATGTTTATCAATGCTTGGAAATCATCCATGTAAACAGAAACAGACTATCACCACATTCTTGTCCGTATATTGCTTAATTATTTACATTATTCAGACTATTGTCCTCATCTTTGTCGCCATATTTATCACAACGTTTCGGCCATTGTACGCTCCGGCCTTCTTCAGGTGGTTGGAATGTTAAACTGAACCCTTTATTTCGCTCACTGGGGTAGACTGTTCTAGTTCCATGTGCATCAAACATGGCACGTGGAACTAGAACAGTCTACCCCAGTGAGCGAAATAAAAGGTTCAGTTCGACATTCCAACCGCCTGAAGAAGGCCGGAGTGTACAATGGCCAAAACATTGTGATAAATACGGCAACAAAGATGAGGAGAATAGTCCAAATAATGTACATAATACCTCATCTCAGAAATATAGACAGATATTGCTTAATATATTGTACAGTAATTGTCATCTTTGATAATATGTAAGCCAAAAGCTCAGATTGGATTAAAAAAAGAATATGTATCAATATTGTGATTTTCTTTTTTCATTTAATGATAATGCTTATGAGACATTATGAAAAGAATTTACATAAAATAAATAGACAACACTTGTCTATATTATTTAATGAAATTATATATATATATATATATATATATATATATATATATATATATATATATATATATAAAACAAACTGTGATACAGTCAGTGAATTACAATATATGTTCCTGAAAAATTATTTCAGTTGATCTCTCTGGGGAGAAAGTCTGGGTTTGTAAACAGTGGCTATTACTCCTACTAATGCAATACTCTTCAATAAAATGAATAGAGTTCTCTCAGTCACTGGCATGTTCATCTAAAAATAAATATGCTTAAATTCACCTTCATCCCTGCTGTGTGCCAACATCTAAGGGGTAGATTCTCTGACTGACACCAATTCAGTTGGGTTTCAATCCTAGCTAGAGGCAACCAGACATCTAGTCACACTGATGAGCTGTGATACAGTGAAAAAGTCTCTCTGTGGATGACTAATATATATATCTCACACACAGGGTGGCAATAAAGTCACTATACAGTTACAATGACAATTAAGACAAAGCAATTAATCTACAGTCCATAATCGGTTCTGGTTAATTCTGGTTAAATGCTATGGTAAACAATAGTAAATTAATTACCGATACTGCTTCAATGATTTGTTTTTTTTTTTATAACTGTAAAGTGACTTTATTACAGACATGTATAACTATATTTAAGAAACAAAAACTAAAAAAAAAAAATTCTACTAAAAAATAAAAATAAATAAAAGTAATAGAAAAATTTAAATAAAAAAAGATGTTTTTAATTGGTTTAAAAAAAAAAAACAAATTTTTTTTTGTCTGTCTTACCTCAAAGACTTCTTTTTCACAACCTTCTTGGCCATGTCGAGACATGGATGTACTGAAAACAAACAAGATTTGGAAGATATTTTAATTAAATTTTACAGGCCTTTTAAAAAAGGTTTTATTTGTAAGGCTATTATTATTTAAGGGTTTGGTTTTTTTTAAGCTTGCCAAAGTATGGAAGCCTTCATAAACAAAAAAGAAAACAAAAAAAACCAAAAAAAAAAACCATTTCTTTTTAAAAAGAAAAAAAAAAAATTTTCCCCATTTCTTAATACTTTGCTTAGCCGTCTTTCACTTTTGGAAGCCGTCTTTCACTATTCCAATGTGCTGTCGGATTCTAGTGTGATATGTCTATAGATATATCCGTCTCAATATATGGATACATATGTATTTCTGTCGTTTCCTGTTAAGTCAATATGCTCAATATTTTTATTTCCTTGAGCTCTGACGAGTGATAACTTATCCTGAAGTCAGTTTTTTTTCCCTTCTTTCCTTTTTGCATTGCCAACTAATGTAGTTGTTGCTTATTCTCTTTTTTATTGCATTAATTAAATAAAGAAAAACAACCCAAAAAATTCTTACCTTTCCTTAGAAAACAATTTTCCGCGACGGCGGCCTTCAGGTAAACTTTCTGGGGTCAAGTATTTCCCACTGAGCAGGCCTTGTTGAAGAGGAGAGTATGCAAATACAGAAACCTTCTGCTCTTTACACAAGGGGAGCACCTCATGCTCAGGTGTTCGCCATAACAGATTATAGCAAATCTAAAAGAGGAGACAGAAAGAAAAAGAAAAAAAAACAGAATTCATTTGAAAATATTGTCTAGAATTTTGAAAAAGATTCATTATCAGTTTCTGAGTGTGTGTGTGTGTGTGTATTTTTTTTTTTTTTTTTCTTTACAGTAAGGTTTACCCTGTACAAGGCCCGGGGGCCACTTGAGGTAGAGGATTCTGTTAAGGAGTAGTTTAAATAGATAGGAGGAAGACAACAGTTAATGCTACACTTGAACAGATTAAAGTTGTAGTCATCAGGGAAACATCCTCTTAGGAGTTTGTTCCATAAGGCAATGGTTTACGAGAAGCTGTTCAAGTGGAATTTACTTCTTGCCAATGGAATATTGAAGGGAATGAGGATGGTTTGTTACTATGTAAGTGTCATGTCATGGAGGGTCCTAGCCCTGAAGGTTAGACCTGATGGAACAAAAAGATGCAGTTTATCCGAGCACTTTCCATCATAATAGTGATAAAGAAAAGACTCGCTACATCCCGCCTGTGAGAGAGAGGCTGGAGTGTGGGAAATAATTCTTCTCTTACAAGAACTTTGAGACGCTTTTGAAATCTATCAAAACTGGAAAGTGAAGACTCGGCAGCTCCCTCCCAAATATGACAACAGTACTCCATTTTCGACCTGACCTGGATCTTATAAAGGTAAAAAGATAACATGGGGAGTCAGGTACTTACTGGAGCGGTACAGGGAGCCAATCATTTTACCTGCATCTTTAGAAATGGATCGTATATAGGAATTGCACTTGAGGTCAGGTGTGAGTTTGAGGCCCTATATCCTCTCGGCATGGTGCCTCCTCTAGGGGACACCCGTTCATCAAGACGGGCAGTAGATCGGGGTCTGATTGGCGGTGATAGAATGTAACCATCCAGTTTTTTCCCCCACTGGGAAGTTAGTGTTAGATTGGAAGAGAGGTCAGCTGCCAATCTCCATTCGTCAAGACTTTCAGAGGTACATCCATATCTTCTCATAACATTGGCATGGACCAGGGGTCGGCAACTCATTCGACCCCGCGGACCAGATCATGTTATAATGACGGGTTGCAGACCAGACGAAGACCATTAATGAAAAATTAAGGAAAATTACATATGCAGACCCCTGTCAACCTAAATATTTAAAACCATAATGAAAATAAACATTGAGAAATCAGAAAATCTAAAATTAAAAAACACCTAACAAAAATTACTTTTCCTCAAGGAACGTCAAAATACTTCAAAGTGAAAAAAATCAACCGAAGTGAAATGGATGAAATTATGACATGTAGGTTTGAAACTTATTGAAAATTGTTCCACAAATGAACCACACACGCACATCAAACAAAAATGAAGCACATATACATACGAGTACAAATAGTTGCAAACATATACACTTACGTACATACACATGCGGTATCATCCACACATTCATGAGGCATGTATGTATAATGCGCGTATGTTTAACTGTCTTTAGATTTCTGCTACCTTGCATGTCAGTCCCTCCCTGGCCTCTTTCACTTTATTGTTCCTTTCACTTCTGTTATCTTTTAATGTAGCCAAGGGTCATAACAAATATGTATCCATTATTTGACATTAAACATAGGCAACACAACTTGGTAAAATAAGTCTCATGAAATATAACTGGCAGATAATTCAAAAGCCTCTCATGTTAAAAATAGAGTCATTGGTAATCAGGCTCACAGGCCAGTCAAAATGTCTTTGCAGGCCGGATCTGGCCCGCAGGTTGCCGACCCTTGGCATAGACGTTTAAAAACGATCGGAGTATATTCTTAGGTAGATCATTTATGTAAATTAAAAAGAGGGTTAGTCCCAGAAGTGAGGACACCTGTGTTGACTGCTAGGGCCTTCAGGAAGGATTTTATAATATAAAAAAAAAATCTGTTAGGAAAGATTTTCTAATAAAGAAAACCCTTCTAGTGGTTCCATACCTGGAGAGCTTATGTAGCAAACTTTTGTTCCGCACGTTGTCACGTTGCCTTTGAGATATCTAATGCTATGGTCCTTGCGTTATGTGTTGTCAAGGGTCTCATTAATTCTGTGTGTAATGGTACAGTGATCCCTCATTTATTGCAGTTCTGAGACCGGCCGCGATAACTGAATTTCCACAAAGTAGGGACGCCATATTTACAGTATTTATTTAACGTGTATTTGGACTTTTAAAACCCTCCCTGTACTGTTAACAACCCACCCATGACAGTACTCTATTAATAACAAGGACAACTGTTAAGCAATAACACTTTAGATTAAAAAGAAAAAATACAGATTGTTACTGTATTCAACACAAAAGAAGTTGAATTAAAATTTGAATGATGATGATGATGAATTTGCTGCGCAGTAGAAATGATGATGATGAAGCTGATAATGACTTCTAGTGTGCAGCCGATAATTGTATTTTACGTCTCTTTGGACGGCGGTGCCCTTTCTATTGCTATTTTACGCTTGTTTTGTTGTTCCTAGACCACGAAATAATATTATTAATATTTTAATGGGTTTAATGAAAAATTTTAGGTGTTCATATATCACGATTTTTCTAGAATTTTCCAGAAACTCTGCAATATATTTTCCACATATATATTTTAAAAATCTGCGAAAGTCGTGAATCCACAATAGCAAGGGATCCCTATAGTTAGGACATCAGCAGTGGATTGGGCTGATCAAAACCCATACTGCTCGTCACACAAGAGGTTGTTCCGATCTAGGTTCTTGATGACCTTCTTGATTAAGGTCTTAAAAATTTACTGATGATATCAAGGAGACTAATGGCTCTATATTTGGTGGGAGAGGATCGGTTGCCCTTGTTCTTGAAGGCCGGGCATACACTTACCACCTTCCACATTCTTGGGAAAAATATCTCCTTTAAACAGCTGTTAAATAATTTTGCTAGGATCGGGGATAAATTCTAAGTTTATATTCTTAAGTTCCACAAACGAACCACACACACACATCAAACAAAAATGAAGCACATATACATACGAGTACAAATAGTTGCAAACATATACACTTATGTACGTACACATGCGGTATCATCCACACATTCATGAGGCATGTATACAGCATATCAACATCTTTATGGGTTACTTAATGCCAAAATTTAAATTTTTTGATACACAATTTTATTTTATAATTTTCATCCTTTAACAGTCTGTTGTGCTTAGTTTAATTTGTAACGTATATAAATGTAGGTAAAAAAATTGATTGAAAGAATTCTTTGACTCATGGATTTGGCACGAAATTCCCCACAATCTGATATCTATTTCATGAGGATCCCCTAGAGAGAAAAAAGTTGAAATGAGATCTCTTCGAGGAAACCTCTTTTCGGACACCGGAAATTGCCAACGGTGACAGCAGTGACATCGTCGAAGGTGTAGGTTGCCCTATCAAAGCGAATGAAAAATGCTTGTAGACATGTACAGAGCGAGCGATTTCACACAATTTAATACCAATTTTGAAGAGATTCCTTTTACTGGAAAAAATGTATAAAGCAGTGAATTGTGAGAGACCGCCCAGTTTTGGTCTGCATGAAAATTCCAACAAATTCACTAACACGATGCCCCGTATGGTCGAAGGTCACTCCCTCCATACTCAAGCGACTGAAATAATTATTTGACTCATAGATTCAGCAGGAAATTGCCCACAATCTGATATCTATTTCATGAGGATCCCCTGGTGAGGAAAAAGTTGAAATGAGATCTCTTCGAGCAAACTGCTTTTCGGACACCGTAAATTGCCAACGGTGACATAATCGAAGGTGCAGGTTGCCCTATCAAAGCCAATGAAAAATGCTCGTAGACATGTACAGAGCGAGCAATTTCACACACTTTAATACCAATCGTACCTTGTATATAAATATAGGGTAGAAAAAAAAGCAAATGTTGATAGTGAGGGTCACAAAGCACTACCCGGGGCCCCCAATCAGGCCAGTTTCATGCAAGACGTTTTTTCTTAATGGAGGCCTACAAGACCTTGCACCAGCCCTGAAAGCAGTTACATAATAAATAGATTTTTAAAAGCCAAGTACATCAGGTGTTATCAAAGACACACCCTGTATATATTACTTCAGTGGCCTTCTGCTTGATATCACAAAATTTTTATGACAATATCTATTGAAAGAAAACTTGCCTGGTTGGTAAGTGGTTTGCCTCCCGCCTCAGAAAACTGGGTCAGATTTTTCGGACCAAAGTTGGAAACACTGTAATGGCGAATCCTTCCTTTTGCAACTTGTCGTTTCAGTTCTTCAACTGTTGCCGTGTAATCACTTATCATGGTTGGCCAGTGAATCTGAAAGAAACAAAATTAAGGAAAAAATTTATTTGGAAAAGCAAATCTAAATCTTGTGCCTCCAGCTTGTTAACTTATTGAAACTGGTTTTACAAGAAAAAAAATTTTGATAAACAAACAATAAATTAATATGTGAATATAAAATGGGGGATCAATTTTATATTACAGTCGACATATAAACTGATCCCTCAATTTATCATCATAATAGTTTCTATCCATTTCTATTCCAGAGAATGTAAATAAATCTAAAAGACATGCCTGTGTAGCTAATCAGTATTTCATTGATTAATTCATTTTCTACAACTTATCAACAAACAAGAAACTATGTGGATATAAAGTGGGGGGTCAATTCTGTATTATAATCAATATAAAAACTGATCCCTCACTTTGTGACCACGGTAATTTCTACACATTTCTATTCCAGAGAATGTAAATAAATCTAAAAGACACGCCTGTGTAGCTAATCAGTATTTCATTGATTGGTTAATTCGTTTTCGATGGCTTATCAATAAACAAGAAATTATAATGTGGATATAAAGTGAGGGATCAATTCTGTATTAAATCAATATATAAACTGATCCCTCACTTTGAGGCCACGGTTGCTCCTATACATTTCTATTCCAAAGAATGTAAATAAATCTAAAAGACATGCCTGTGTAGCCAATCAGTATTTCATTAATTGACTGATTTGTATTCTATGACTCATGAACCCTTTTCAGCTTATTTAAAACCAGAAAATATTTTTAAATTGTAACAATTTTTATTTTTTTGGAGCTACTAGTGATTTAATGATTCACATCTTACTAATTAATCCATAGCTGGGAGGAGAAGTGGATACATACATTTCCCAAGGGCATTTGTACATAAGTAAATATATATATATATATATTACAATAAACGTGCAATCAATTTACAAATACATGAATTATTCACACAAAACTAATGCAAAGGTTAATGATTTTAAATGGATGAGACATCCATCTATAAACAATTCAAATATTACACAAAAACCTTAGATCCGTTATGAATGAATTGATCCTTGTTCATATAAATTTCTGCCGTATTAGTTGTTATTTTTACACAAGCTTTCGTCTGTTCATACAGACATCTTCAGGTATATTATAGATGTTGTTCTTGTTTTTTTCTCTTAGTAATAAGAGGACATCGAAAAAATATATGTGTATTGTATCCCGAAATGCTATTGAAAATGAGATATTGGTTTTGAACGCACAAAAGCAACGCTGAGTTTGATTTTTGAATTTCTTTTTTTTTTAAAATATTTGCGTTTATACCAAATATGGTAATGAACAAATTATTTTACTGGTAAATTTTACTGTCAAAGTGGCATGAACTATATTGTTCAATAATTACAGTAATGTCGCTTATTAACTTATTATATATATATATATATATATATATATATATATATATATATATATATATATATATATAACCCAACAGGAATTGAAGCTTAAGCCATTATCTATTACACCATCCACACATTCGAGCTTACAGCATTTAGTATTCTTAAGTGGTCACCCATCTAGGCACTGACCTGGCTTGATATTGCTTAACTTCAGTGATCGTACAGGAACTGGTGTTTCAACGTGACATGACTATAAGCCGCATTGCTATGTGTTATAAAATTTCACACAAAAATGAGCAGAAACAAGGGAGATAACCAATGAAAGACTCGCCTGATAAAACAAGGGAGATAACCAATGAAAGACTCACCTGATAAATGTCAATATAATTGGTCTGAAGGTTTTGCAGAGATCCAGTAATGGCGGCATCAATTTCTTCCACAGTGTAAGGGTCGCAAAGTTGGCCACCACGAAATCCAAACTTGGTAGCCACAATTGCATTTTGGCGTCGACCCTGAAGACATTTCCCTAAAACCCCTTCGGAACGGGGATAAGCCTGGAAATAAAAACGCAGAAATGTACTTTGCTCAAATCTGAGACGTCCTTACGAATTAAAATTGAAATTCCACATTTAACAAATATTAACATAACATAAAAACAATAAAAAAAATGGATTTAACGTATTTTAATAATTTAGTAAATGTTTATAAATTTGGTAAATTTTCATTTTAACACCCGAGCGCTAATATCCCTTCAAATTTTTCCCAAATAGTCTTATTTCCGTGCAAATGCTGAACTCAAATCAACAATTAGAGATATTAAAGAAACCTACCTCTTTGGATGTTAACGACCCGAAAAAAATCGGACTTTTTCCTGGTCTTTCGTCAGCTCATTGATAAGTAATTAAGTGCTGAATTCTGTCGGTGGATGTATACAATTTGGGCCTATTTACTCCCTTCACAGTAATTCCTTGTAGTTAACTTTCAAATTAGGGTTAGGTGTTTTTTTTTTTTTTGGTTATTCTTTTATTTTTTTTTTTTTTATTTTTAAAAGAAGAAAGTTAACTTTCAAATTAGGGTCAGGCGTTTTTTTTTTCTTTTGTTATTCTTTTATTTGTCGATGTCTACATATATTTGAAAGTTAACTTTCTTCTTAAATTAAGTACAAAAAAAAAAAAAAAAAAAAAAAAAAAAAAAATCGCTTTATGGAAGTGCGTACTAATTTATGAAAGCAGTGACTGACGCTCGGGTGTTAAAATGAAAATTGATAAATATTACATTGCATTTTTAGTTTTAATTATATTTAGTCTCTTTGTCTATTTCATTCTCTTTGTACCTATGTATGTATCTATCTCATTCTCTTGCACACATCATTCTCTTCATCTCTATCTCTTCACACACACATTCATCTGTCTCTATCTCTTCATATCAGTCTGTCTATCCATTTATTTCCTTCTCTTTGTAGTTATATATGTATCTGTCCCAATCTTTTCATATGTATTTCATTCTATTCATATCTATCTCATTCTCTGAACACACACAAATCTTCATCTATCTCTCTATCTCTTCATATCTGTCAATCTATCCATCCATTTCATTCACTTTGTATCTAACTTTATTATCTATTTATGTTCATTATCTACCGACAACAAATTGGTAAATGATAAATATGGCACCACATTAGTTTTAATCAAAATTGCATTAGTTTTTAGAATGTTGTAAATATAAAATTATTCTTACAAATAATCTAATAAAGAAAATGAATTTAATATTTTTGTGGTAAATTCTCAAGAACAAAATGTGTAAATTCACTTTCATCATAACTTTAGGTTTATTACAATTCTAATCATCACTTTTATTGTTTTAAATAAACATTGTTGAGGAGTGAAGGTAGTCAAAATAATAGTGATGTCATGAGAATAACCGTCATTTTGAGAGACAGGCATGAAGATTCAAGATTGTCCGGAATTTAATATGGCTGTTTTCAGCCCAATTTGCAACCTGGCCTGGTAAATTTGCTATCAAGCCGGCCATGCTGTGGTCGTAGCCATATATATATATATATATATATATATATATATATATATATATATATTATAAATTAATTGATTTAAAATATGGTTTTTTCCACTTTGCCACCCACTATACTGATATTACAGATGATGAAAAGAACGTTATTCTATATGCGAAAAAAATCGGTACTTATACACAAAGGTAAAAAAAAAACAAGTGGAAAAAACCATATTTTAAAACAATTTATAATATTAATGCTATGTAAATTTACATTGAGCACTATTTTGTAAAATAAAATATCTATAAGAACACTGGATTATATATCTTACTGTTCTTTCTTATATATATTATATATATATATATATATATATATATATATATATATATTATATATATATAGCTAACACAATAAAAAGAACAATTTATTATCATACTACAATGACCAGAATAAAAATATCTGGTAGTAAAAACAAAAATGAATCCATTGTTAATTAAAATTTTCATGTAAAATCATGGTAAATCGGCTAAAACAATAGGTAGCCAAGAAAATCCATTAATCAAACAAGACAACATACCGAGGTAAACAAAGACAATTTATTAGAGACATGGGAAATTGGGTCATTGGAGAATTTAGTCAATACTTACTTGTTAAAATGCACCACAGTTCAATACAATATATAATGGAAGTGTGTTCATACAAGACAGACATGTCCCAACATGTACTGTCAGCCATTTTATGCTTGGTATTATTTTAAAGTGTAGCTTTCTTTCCTCTACGATATATGGTAGCTATTTTGCTCAAAGTTTGTACTTTTGCAATTACAGAGAAAAACTTGGAAATGTGCCAACAGATTTAAGAGCAAGATTTCATTTTCATAATCAGAGTTTATAGTTTAGATATACAAGAAAAACAAACGTGTTGGTTTAAACCAGAGTCCCTCCACCATTTTGCACTTGTGAAACTGTAGAAATAGTTTCCATGCTTCAGGGAACCCATGCATAAAATTCATTATATACCCTTATTGATATCTATTGTATATACTTGCATATCATGTGACTTTTGAAGACCTAATTTTGAAGGGGGTTGGAACATGCATGAGCCAAAAACTTGATTACTCTGTGAGACAAGCTATTGTGAAGCTACACAAGGAAAAGCACACCATTAGAGAGATTTCAGAGAAAGTGAAACGTCCCAAGAGTGTTGTAGGCAGGGTTGTTAAATCCTACAATGATACTGGCAAAATAGTTAGTGCTTTTAAAACCGGCAGACCCCGCAAAACTTCGACAAGAGAAGATCAAATAATGCAGCGTATGTCATTAAAGGACTGTTTTAAGTCTTGCACAGAAATTAAAAGGGTTATGAATAGTACCTCATGTGTTAATGTGTCAAGACAGACTGTTTGTAGACAACTGCAAGAAATAGGGCTGTTTAATCGAACCCCAGGGAAGAAACCAATTGTTAGTTTGAAGAATAAGAAGAAGAGATTAGAGTTTGCAAACAGGTATGTAATTTGGACATATGAAAATTGGGCAAAAGTATTTTTCAGTGATGAAAGCAAGTTTAATTTATTTGGAAATGATGGAAAAAACAATGTAAAGAGATGTATGGGTGAAAGATTAAGTGCAAAGTGTACTAAGAAAACTGTCAAGTTTGGGGCGGAGCGTCATGGTATTTGGAATATTTTTCTAGCCAAGGTACAACGCCTCTTGTCCAGTTACAAACTCGTGTAAACGCAGATCTATAAAAACATTGTTCAAGATCATGTTGTGCCAATCATACAGAATTCAGGTTTCGATAGGGCTACCTTTATGCAAGATAATGCCCCCATGTCACAAGGCAAAGGTGGTAATGAGTTACCTTAGCGAGCAAGATTTGGAAATTATGGATTGGCCACCGCAAAGTCCTGACTTAAATCCAATAGAAAATCTTTGGAAGACCTTAGGAGTGAAAGTTATGGAAAGAAATCCCACTAACACGGAGGATTTGTGGGTGAAGCTTCAAGAAGAATGGTCTAAAATTAGTATCGAGGATTGTCAAGAACTGATTCGTTCTTGTAGTCGAAGATATGCAGCTGTCATTGAGAGCAAGGGCTCATTTACTAAATATTGATTGTACATGTATTTTTATTGTTTTTTTGCCATTTACATTGTTTTTCTCAATTTTGTCCCTTACTTTTGGACGTTCCAAATTTGAAAATAAATAAATAAATAATTGTTATAATTCTTTTTCTATCCTTTGCAAATGATTCAAATTTTAGTATGTTATTATGGATGATAACGACTACCAGTTGTCAAAATTTTAGCTTTTCACAGTTGTTATTTCTAACAAATATTAGGTTTTAAAATTTTGTCCCTTAGTTTTGGACACTACTGTATATATATAATGTGTATATATATATATATATATATATATATATATATATATATATATATATAAGGTCATCCCATAGGTTCTGTCCGAATTTTGAATAAAGAAAACAAGTGACTACATTTAATTACAGATTCAATCAACAATGTATTTTCCCTGATTATCTATGACTGTCTTACATCTATTAACAAGCTTACTAATTCCATTACTGTAAAATTCTTTTGGCTTTGATTCGATGTCTTGATTTGCAAATAATCAAACTTATACCAAAGGAAAAAAAAAGTATAAAAAGAAAGAACCAAGAACATGTACGTCAGCCGAAAATAATAGTCTAGCATGCAAGTCCAAAGCCCAAAGAAAAAAACCCCGATACAAGTACGAAAAATAACTAAATAAAGTGCCCAATACAATGAGTAGAGCAGACCTAGTTGAACCTAGAGAGCCAGACAAACCTACCAAGGTTTCACCTTAGCAGATTGTCAGGGAAGGCTGGCTCCACAAAAACAGCCTTCTCTGACAATCCACTAAGGTGAAACCATGGTAAGTTGTCTGGCTCTATAGGTTTAACCATATATATGCATGCACACACACGCACATATATATATATATATATATACACACACACACACACACACTGTATATACACTGCAACTATACTAAGCAGACATTAGTAGCAGTTTTTGGTAAAGAGTGCATGATAAAGTTTTGAAGGTGGCCCGTACACTCAAACTCTCAGTCATGATGACTTGTGACTTTGTGCCGGCACAATTATTATTGGCTTCTATACAGTTCCATTTATTCAATTTGTGTCAACATATAACATGATTTCTATGAACCACATACTGGAATCGCCTCCCAAGGTGGGATCAAATCAAGAAATCATTCCCTGAACAAGTCGACCATTGTGAGATTTGGACCCAGGTCTCATGGTCGGAATGTGAACATTCTAACTATGGGGCCATTGAAAGTTACATGCAGACAATACATGACGAACAGAGAATCGGCTCGTCTTCTGTATAATAAATGTAAATGTCAGTGTGCCACACTTTTTCAACTTTACACCTAGAGGTTGTAGCCCAACATATCATACAATTTTGGAATAAAGCCAACTTTGTGAGCAAATTAAAAACATTCCAAGCCAGATCCAGAGCCACCATCCAAAAATTTTAGATTCCCAAGTTTTCATTACTGTGATTGTTTTCAGTGATTTTTTTTTTTTTACCCGATTTTTTTTTTTTGCAGCAAATCTTTTTGTATGATAACAACTTTTATAACTCGGTAATAAATTTGGGAATAATTGAAATTATTTGCAAAATCCAATGAACATCACCCATGAAATAAAAATAATTGTTTATACGGAAAGTAAGGACCTATGTACAACAAATTGTCATTCAATTAATTAACAGCAGAAGAATTATTGCTGAACTTTTAAAAGGTAAACTTAAATATTAATACAATACTTAAATACAGTAATCAATTTTGAGTTCTTCTGTAGTTTATTGTGGCCTATCTCATCTACTCCTTCCCTACCTAGCATGACGAAGGCCCAATCAAGAGCCCTCAATAGTGGTTAGCTTAAATGCTGCCAAATGGGCCAGTTTTTAAGCTAATTTATAATATAGACTTAACAAAAAAAAAAAACAAAAAAAAAATTCAAAAGGCCTTACCTCTGCCGTATCAAAAAAGTTGATTCCAACATCAAAAGCTTTGTCAACAATTTTCTTGGAGAGCTGGAACCAAAAACAAGAAAATATAAAATGGATATTGTAGAGAATTTGGGTATAGTTATTGGCAGAAATGCCTAACAAACAGAACAGACAATGTTTCCAATAAAAATAACAAAAGAAAAGAACATGGCTGACCTCCAGGAGAAGGACCCATTGCGCCTTCTCAGGCTAATGTTCTCGACTGACATGAAGTGGAAGTGAATCCATTGCTAGATCAGCTACTAAAAAAGTTGGTTAACTGTGTCGTGCAAGACGATTTTTCTCTTCAGAATCTATCTTACACATCTATTAAGTCTACCATTTGGCCATGCTTAGAATATTGCTACCACATATGGTCTGGTTCTCCCGCTATATATATTAAGCTCCTTGATAAAATCCAAAGAAGAATCAGCAATATTATTAGTCCTGATCTGGCATCTCAGCTTCAGTCACTTTCTCATCATTGTAAGGTTGCCTCCCTTTGCCTTTTCTATAACTATTTTTCATGGTAATTGTTCAGATGAGCTCTTTGCTATGATACCTAGACTCTTGAATTTAAGCACTATATTATATAGACTGACAATGAGATCTCATCAATTTACACTCAAGCTGGCCAGATGTAACTGTAAGTTCTATTTCTTTGCTAACATTTTCTTTTATGGCACTTCCAGCTTCATGCTTTCCAGCCAAATTTAATCTTCAAAAATTTAAATGCAATGTCAATTGCTATCTACTGTCCTCCTGATTACTCTTTTTGTTCTCGTTCCTTAGCAATGTTCCCATTTTTTAATTCTTCCACACCCAGTAACTCCTTGTGTCTCAGTGGCTTTACTGCCTTACATAGGGTGAACTCAATTAAAAAAAAAAAAAATATGCAAGACAAAATTAGGTAAAAAGTACGCAAATTAAGAATAATGTTAACAGACAAAAGGGATACAGTCAAGTGATTATAACATTCTGACTTCAATACAAGAAAAAAACAGAACTAAATTAGATGAGACTGATAAGTGACCATCTTACTGGCTAGGAAGAAATCCCAGCATGCATCTGTTTCATTTGTCTATAAATTAGGGGGAAGGGAAGTATTTTGCAATCATTCTTATTTCAGACTGAAACCAACAGATACAATTAAATAAAAATTTGGATTAAAAACTAAATTGAAATCTGCATTACACTTTCTCTAAGATTAATGACAAGTAATTTTGATAATTTCCACAATGAGGAGAGCCACATCTGTATTATTTACATGTCAACTATTGTCCTCGTTTTTGTTCTTGCTAACAATGTTTTAAGCATTGTGACCTCTGACCTTCAGAAAGATTTCCCTTTTATTTCATCTACAAAGGTAAATAGTTCGTGTCAATGGATAACTCATCTTGTTCCAATTTAGTACAGCTTGGTTATTGTGAACCCTTTTTTCACAGAGTCCAAAGTCACAATTCCTGGCCCCAGGATTAAATGCAGTGTTACAATGTCGGCAAATTCAAAAACCAATGTTTCAATACACAAGTCTGTGAACTAAAGCGTTGGCTTGTGAATCTGTTAACATAGTAATGTAAAGTTCAATCTCCGAGTAGTACGGATTTAGACTCGGTGAAGAAAAGGCGAGCAATAACTGAGCAGCACTAAAAATAAGAACTAGATGAGATATCCCTAGACATAGGCAGTGGAACAAGAACAGTCTACCCCTATAGATTAACCCTTTCAGCCCTGACCACTGCTTTACCAGTGGCAGAGAAAAATGATTTAATGCCCAGTAACTGGTTGAATGGTGGGTAAACACTTGTTAACTATTTTTATATCTACTGTGAAACATTACATATCAATTATTTGCGAATTTTGACTCAGGAGCTCAGGCAGAACAGTTAAAATTGTTCAGGAATGCAGGGCTTAAAGGGTTAAAAGGGATTGTGTCGAAATCCCAAAAGGTTACCTGGATTGACAAGCACCTGATGAGGGCCAGAGTACACAGCAGCTGAAATGTCATGACCACAACAAAGATGAGGACAACAGTCTGCACATAAATAGTGTAAAATAAGTAATTTTGAATTTTTTATTATTAGTCCCATAACTGGGTGTGGCCATGCAGCTCCTGCACAGATGAGCACCTGACCAACCACTCCACCCTTCACAGGATTCAGTAGGGTAATTCATTCTTGCATAGTGTGTCTTGGGCAAAGTACACCTGACACAGCCCATCCCACTCCGGATCAGATACACCTGATTCCATTGGGAAAAGCATCCTGGCAATTGATTCCAGTCTAAGAGACATCTCATCACCACCCTGGATATATCATCAGGAGTTCAGATTATTGTGCAGATTTTGTTAAGCAAAATCACATTTTTTTCAGTTAAAACAGGAAGCAAATAAAAAATTTAAAGTGCTTAAAATTCTTTTTAAGTTTTTTAAAATAATTTTAAATTTAAGGTTAAAAATATTTTTTTTTCAATTATAAGTTTAAAAAAACATTGAGATTTAAAAGTATTTTTTAAAAACATTATGAAGTTTTAAATTTCTGAATTTAAAAATAAAATAAAATGCTGAATTTTGACGTGATATAAAAATGTTTGTTATACTAATGTGCTTTGTTCGTTTTTTTTTTTCTTCTGTAATTAGTAAATTTTTAAACATCATAAAAATTTTGAGAAAGACATAAAAAAAAATATAACTGATAAAAATATGTCCACACCAAAATTCTATTAAAACACAAAATTAAAAAAAATAGAAAGTATTTCAATTGAAAGAGCCTTGAAATTTATTCCCCTAGATTTATCGTTTCTGAATGGGAAACAATACTTGAAAGAAAACGGGTCATAATAATAATAATAATAATAATCACAATTTCTAAATTGGATTTTATTTAAAATAGAAAAAAAAGTTTATTCAGTGGTAATATTTTTTTTACCGTTTGATGCAGAACATAAAAGAAAAACAGTGATATTATGCAACTATCATTTTTAATTTTCAGCCAAGAATAGAACCTCTGTAAACTAACATGTCATTGTTTTGCTCAGTCTTGTAAGGACTTTAAGGAAAAACTTCATTACAGAAAACGGTGACTCATCCATTTTATAATAGAAAAAATAAACTTGAATTTCTATTCATTTTTGAGATTTCTCTCAAAGATAAACATGTTGACAAGAAAAAATTGCACAACAGAAAAAGCAACAAATCACTAACTCAAGAATTGTCGTGCTAAACAATTTTTCTCACCAGAATTTATCTTACACATTTATAAGTCCATCATTCATCTTTGCTTAGAATATAGCTGCCACAACTGGAATGGCGCTTCTATATATTTAGATATTGATAAAATAGAAGAATCTGCAATGTTATCGGTCCTGACCTGGCATCTCAACTCCAGTCACTTTCCCACTGTTATAACATAGCTTCCCGTGCCTTTTCTATAAATATTTTCAGGATAATTTTTCTGATAAGCTTTCCTCTTCAATCTCCCAATGGAAGCCAAAATAAAATATGCTCAGGCAATGTAATTTCTTAAAATAAAAAAAATGTAAATTTTATTAAATTCATAAAATTGGAGTGCTTAATCAAGAGTAAGGTATTAAAAAAAAAAAAAAAAAAATAATCCCAGAATACAAATTTCAAATTTTTTAGATTTTTTTTTTGTTTTTAAGAAATCATTTGGTATGAGCAGGGGGCTGAATTATGATCTTTGGGTCCTCTAGGTTAATGAAATTATGAAAAGAGAAAGCCACCCTCTAACTCGTCTGCGCATGTCTTGAATATATCTTTTTTTAAATCGTAATATATTTTTTAATTTTATCAGCACTTTCATAGTGTCAAGTAAACTTATTGTAATGTGAGTTTACTTTAAATTAAATAAACTAGAACAGCTATCTTTTGTAACTTCGCTAATAAAAATATTCTTTAAAAAATATCTTCATTATTTTATTTTTTACTATCAAGTTATTGCAAATCAAGAAAAAAAGAGACGAAGAGAAAAAAAACGAAGAGAAAAAGAAAAAGAAAAAGAAGAAAAAAAAAAAAGAAAAAAAAAAAAGAAAGAAGAAAGAAAAGAAAGAAAGAAAGAAGAAGAAAAGAAAGAAGAAGAAAGAAAGAAGAAGAAGAAAGAAGAAGAAGAAGAAAAGAAAGAAAGAAGAAGAAAAAGAAAAAGAAGAAAAAGAAAGAAGAAAAAAGAAGAAGAAAAAGAAAGAAGAAAAAGAAAGAAGAAGAAAAAGAAGAAGAAAGAAAAAAGAAAAAAGAAAAAAGAAAAAAAGAAAAAAAGAAAAAAGAAAGAAGAAAAAAAGAAAAAAGAAAGAAGAAAAAAAGAAAAAAGAAAGAAGAAAAAGAAAGAAGAAAAAAGAAAGAAGAAAAAAAGAAAGAAGAAAAAAGAAAGAAGAAAAAGAAAGAAGAAAAAGAAAGAAGAAAAAGAAAGAAGAAAAAAAAAAAGAAAGAAAAAAAAGAAAGAAGAAAAAGAAAGAAGAAAAAAGAAAGAAGAAAAAAGAAAGAAGAAAAAAGAAAGAAGAAAAAAGAAAGAAGAAAAAAGAAAAAAGAAAAAAGAAAAAGAAAAAAGAAGAAGAAAAAAGAAAAAAAGAAGAAAAAAGAAGATTTTCCATGAACGGAGCCAAGTTTGAGAGGCCCTAAGCTGCTGCCTAATCTGACCCTGGATATGAGAATACATTGTTTGAGCTTTTGTGGGCAGATCAATTTTACAATGAATTTACATAGCAAATTGGACAACCCCATTGTCTTTGTTTTTATGTAATTTGAAAAATCATTTTCTGGTTGCAATACCTTTTTATGCTTACCTGGCACATGCCAGGTAGGTTTTATCATCTCTCAGTTGCATCTGTCTTCGGGTAGAGCGCAACTCATTTGCAGCTCTGTCGGAGGACAGAGGCACAAGAAAATAACACTGAGGTGCCCAGCTCGGGGAAACAGCTCCCCGAGGCTACACCCTCTCATGCCCCATAGCTTTATTCATAAATTATTAACAAATGTATTTGTGGGCGGGTATCTTTTCTTTTTTTTTTTTACCAACATACATTGGCACGTGTTCAATTTTCAGGGGTCATGGGGCTCGGGGAATCCTTGTCCTGAGTGTACACGCTTGGGTTCGCCACATTAAACTTTTAAGTAACCTTGTGTCACATCCTGCCCAAGTGGAGGAGCCATGGGTAAAAAACACCCAATACCTTTTTTTGTACAACTCCACAAAAAAGGAAAAGTTTTTAGAATTTAGATTTAAAATAAAAATGTAATTGTAAAACTTTTAAACATAAAATAATTCACTAAAATTATATAACAATGTAGGGTTGAGTGTTGTATATTTGTCAAAGGTCAAAGTTTGAGCCGAAATAAAAGCCTGAACTTTGAACAGTAAAGCTGATTTTTATCGAAGACAAATCGTCCCCATTTGGAAGACTGACGCAACAATAACATCATTTTTCTTTTCTTTCCACTTGGGCCAAATAACTAGATAACACAAAAAAAATATATATTGAAATCTTGATGTTAATAAATTTTATTTTTAGATTTAAGAAAAAAAAATAAGTCAAAATTTAAATTTAGCTCAGAACAAGTTGAACATGTCTTTCTAGAGCCGAAGGTCGGGTTTCAAACAGATAAAAAGCCGGTATTTTCAATGCTGTTTTTCAAGGAATAGGTCAAGGCCGCGTTGACCTGGGTCAAAATAGAAATTAGCAGTTTCAGACAAGCAAATAAACTTCCTTCTTTCTTTCGGCAAGAATTTGAAAGTATAAAAATAAAAATCTAATAGAAGAGTTTTTTTGTTTGTTTGTTTTTTCTGGAGGAAAAAATTAAGTTAAGAATTTGAAAATTGAACACGTGCCAATGTATGTTGGTTAAAAAAAAGATACCCGCCCACAAATACATTTGTTTATAATTTATGAATAAAGCTATTTTAAACGTTAATTAACGAAAAAGAAATATTAATTAATTTTTTTCTTTTTTGAGAGAGAGAAAAAGTTATTTTAATTTTAACCTTTACGTATTTTTTTATTTTTAAAAAACGAAAAAAATGCCGTAAAAGTTATCTATCAGATTATCTGTATATGTTGGGAGAAAAGGATTTTTTTTAGCGCTTCAAACGATTTTTATTTTTTTTACATCCTAAATATTGATTTCTTGATCAAAATTAGCGAGTCCTTTAAACAAAAAAGTGATGCATTTGAAATACAATGTAATTTATTTCAAGATTTTCCCGTAATTATAACAAATTAAAGGAAAGATTTGGGTCCAATGAATCAGTTTTTAAAAACAAAAACACTTTATACTTTTTTAATTGTTTTAAATTTAATTTATTCTTTACAATGTTTTAAAAATTTATTATTCGGTTTTTAATGTAATTGAAATGTAAATGAATTGCAATAAATTACTCTGGGAATTTGAACTTTTTAAATTTATTCGAAAAACACTATTTTTTTAAGCAAAGAAAAAAAAAGTAATTCTAAAAAAAAAAAAAAAAAAAGGTCCCGCAAAAACACAATTTAGAAAGGCAATATTTAAAAACACGTCCAGGTATAAATAAAATAAAATGTAGCAGAATTGGGTAAACAAAAAAAAAAAAACTAAAAAGACAAGTTTTTTTTTTTTTAAAAAGTATTTATTTATTTTAAATATTTTTAATTTTATATTTTTCTATATTTTTTTTATTTCTATTTTTTTATATATAGATTCCTAAAACAATTTTTTTAAATTTTTTTACCAGAGAAAATAAAGACGGTCGAAATCGGATTCTTTTAGAAAGAGACAAAAAAGGTAAAAACGAAATTAGCAAAAGAAAACGATAGAAAAAGAAAGACGGCATTTATTCTTATTTCTTTTTAAAAGTGCCTACCTCTTCGGTTTGGGCATCCCATGTATTATTAGAAACACCCGCATTAAATTGCCACGTTCCTATGCAGATGGGCGAGACTTTCAAGTCGCTACCCGGCAACTGCACCAATTCCATGACGTGCTTAGGACAGAATTACCAAAGAAAAGACTTCACTCCCAGACAAGCAATAATAAAAATGCTATTATTATATTATAATTTGTTTCTGATTCGCTTCTTTTTCTTTCTTTCTTTCTCAAAGTCAAAGCTGCTTTCATTGGTTGGACATTTAATCAAGACAAGACTTACTATTGGTTATCACGCACTTCACGTCAACACCGTTTACTAAATCGTTTCAATTATAATATTTTATTGCTTATTTTCGGGATTATCTTATCAGAATCGTCCTTATCTGCTTCTTAATTTTATTAAGGTCGAACCTGTGTCTGCATTTATCACTCGCTATCAATGTGGCTAATTTCCAAAAATGTTCATTTACGATTTAAAAGAAAAAAAAGAGCACTAGCCAAGGGGAGGTAACTCTAAAATCAACGTGAATTGCCAACATGTAATTTTTTTTTTTTTATTTGAAGTATTTTTTCTTTCTTAATTTTATTTTTTAATATATATTAATATATTCTTAATATTTATATATTCTTACTTAATTCTTCTTCCATAGTATTGATGAGAATTTATTTTATTTTTATTTGTACAATGTATACTCAATTTGCACCAGTAGAAGTTAAAACTGAAAAAAGGTCTTTCTCTAATATGGCTAATTTCAGTGTAACCCGGATATAAGAGAGTTGTCGGGACCGGAGAAGAAGTCTCTTATATCCGGGTTTCTCTTATATCCGGGTTTGGTCTATTTTATATACATTAACTAACACAGGCTCTAATTTGGGACCAGAGAAAATCTCTCTTATATCCGGGTTTCTCTTATATCCGGGTTACACTGTAATAATAAAAATAATAACAGTTCTTCGGTTTTCACCGCAGACATCAGGGTACCCCAGATTTCATCCCTCTGCACGCTATGTGTAAGTGATGTTTTAAAAGCTTAACGAATGCATCCAGTCCTATTCATTCCGTGGTCCGTGGATAATAGCAGTTTCTGTTTAAGTAACTTTTTAGCTGTAGTGTAGCACAAGGGCGAAAGTATGGAGCACCCAGTGAAGAAACAACTAAGTCGTAATTCATCTCTCTAGCGAGACAAGCTTGTTAGTCATTTACGAATTTAGGAAAATTCAGTAATTTTGACAAAGTAGGAAAATTCGGTAACTAAAATAATAATCGATTGAAAATTGATTTTAGAGCCGTTCTGGGGGGTGGATTTGGGGTCTAAGCCCCCCTCCCCTATATTTTTAAATAATTGAAAATCATAAGGTTCAGATAAAAAAAAAAAGTACTACCACAATACCAGGGCCATACCTGCAAAGGGGAGGCATAGGGGGCTATGCCTCCTTCTCTAATATTTAAAAAAATATAACTTTAACTATGGGAGTCTAGAGATAAAAACTCACTACAACAATTCCAGGGCCTTACTTTCTGGAGGGGGCTACCCCCAATACGTTTAAAATAAATAAGTATTAACTAAAAAATCATGGGTTTCAGTCCAGATAAAACACCACCACTGCAACAATATTAGGTCCGTGCTTTGTGACGGGGGGGTGGGCTAAGTCAACATTCGAATATTTTTTAAATAAGTTACTAATTTATTTAATTACTATATTGTTTTCAAGCGTATAAAATCGATTTCTAAATTGAAATTCTTGTATCTTCTTTTTAAATTATTAAAACAAATAAATATAAAGTTTTAGATAGCTATTTCTTTTTTAAAGAAGCAAAAACTACATATAGCCTCTAATTTTTTTGAAGAACTTTTTATTCATTCAAAATTTACAACAAATAACAACACAACTATATGACATTTTATTGAAGAAAGTTAAACTTAAAAAACTAAACGAGAAGTAGCACTTTTTTATTTTACAAAAGCAAAAGCACCTATTCAAACATCAAACAACAAGCTAAAACAGTTAAACTAAAAAGTAAACAGAAATTTAATTATCGAGAATGGCCCTATCAATTTTCAATCGAATTTTATTTCATAATTACATTTTCCTACCTTATCAAAATTACCGAATTATCCGTTACCGAATTTTCCTAAATTCAAAAGCATTAATAGTAATACCCTTGAAGAGCTGTCAATATTGCTCTAAGACAGGGGTCGGCAACCTTTTGGAGTGAGCGAGCCAGAAAGCGATATAATGTCTCGTAGGAAGGCTATAATTGTCTCGAATTCAGACGCTCCGTCCATAAGACTGCCTTTGTTTGGAGGTTTAAAGAAAAAACAATGAAGTTAATGTTGTATTATTTAAGCAAGGTTCCTTATTTTACAGCAAGAATAACAGGATCGCCCCCAAATCCCCATTCCAGAAAGAGCCTAAAATCAATTTACAATCGACTTTTATTTCATGGTTACCGCATTTTCCTACCTTATCAAAAAATTACCGTAATTTCCGGGAACGTCATTTTTACAATGTCGAAGTAACATCCGTTCCATAGATAATACGTGATTTTTTTTTCTTAAATACCATTTTAAGAGAGAATACTAAAAAAGGGTTCTTGACCAAAAAAACGAGGGAATTTTAAAATGAAGAATGGATAAAGCTGAGACGTTTTCATCACCCCTTTTTTACCCCTTTTTTTAAGTGTATTTTTTGACGGAAAATATATTTTTCTTACATATTTTTATTTATTTTGAAAAATTAATAGACATTTTTTTCAGGAAATAAACTAGTGGCCGGTCATCTATTTCTGTCGGGTACTTCACAAGTTTATGGGCCCCGCTCTATTCGTAACAGAAATTCAGAAATTGATTCAACCTCTAAAACACGTTCTTTTGGGGGTTTTTCTAACAATAACAGTCACATATTCGATATATTTCATAGTAAGTGAAGTCTTAGTATCCCATAAGAGCCGAGTGGATACGAAGAAAGTCTCGATATGACATTTAAGATTTGAATTAAAAGTTCCTTGAATTTTTAATTTATTTATGAGACTGGAATTTTGTCCACCTAGTGAGACAAGCTTGTTAAACCATTCGTGATTATTACACCACGTCGAAGTAACCTTTGTTCCATGGATCCTTTCATTAAAATGCCATTTAGGAGAGAATGCTAACAAGATGTTCTTGACCCAACCAAACGAGGTTGAAATGAAACAAATAAAACTTGGTCAGATTTATTTTTGGTGGAGAATGGATTGGGCCGAAAAGTTTTCATCACCCCCTTTGTAGTATATTTTTGTAGCGTTGTTAGAAAACGTTTTTCAGAAGTTGGATCTATTTTTTTTTTTCACTATAAATTTCTGTTGCACACGGGGCGTACCCATAGACTACAGAAATAGGTGACTTTATTACTAGACACCATAAATTAACTGTGACTTTTTTTTACCTAGCCAAAATTGTGACTTTATTACCGGCCTAGTTTAAGTAGCGGTTTTGTTCTCTTAGTTAAGTTTTTTTTTTTAACCTTTAGCACTCTGTAAGTGATTATTTTCACCAAGCAAAATGTTAATATATTTGCCAACCGCCCCACGCGGTCAGATGTGGCACAAGGCTGAATTTAACGTAGGGTATCCGAGCCCGTACGGTCGGGCAAAAATTCCCCGTAGACCTCGTAAAAAATGGGGTCGAGTAGCTGTCTACCACCCACGAAGGCAGAAAGTTTGGCAGTACAGCCGAAAAAGATTTCAGCTAGCCAAACAAAATGTTAGTATATTTAGCTACCCCCCCCCCAACAAGGGTTGCATGTGGCACAAGGCCGATTTAACGTGGGTTGTCCGAGCCCGTAGGCTCGGCCGAAAAAAATTCCCTTTTTGAACCCGCAAAAACGAGTTCAGGGTCAGTCTACCTCCCCGAACGAGACTCTGCCCTTCGGCGGAGCCTCGTCAAGGTTCCTCTCTGCCCGAAGGCAGAGTTTGACTGTCTAGCTGGAACAGGTCGCATCTAGTCCAAACAAAATGCTAGTCCCAACAATGCATTTGAATTTCTTGGTTGTGTAGTCATATCCTTCTATGGCAACACCTAAAACAATCTTGGCTTAAATTGAGATCCAGGCTACTACAATTTCAAATATATAGAACTAATATATACAACACTATATTTTGAGAGGATTTCATATTCAGTAAAAAGCGGAAGATGATTATAAAGTGATAAATGTTAAAGTACAGAAGCTTAAAAGGAAAAAAAAGAAAAAAAGATGAAGTGGTATTTTCTTTATCTTGAGTGAGAAAAAGAAAATACGTTTTTTTCTTTTGTTTTACGTACTTCAACATTTACATAAAAATGGATATAAAATCAGTCTCCAGTTTAGTATTACTAAAATATTTTAATTGCAAATCGAACACCCATAGTTATAAAGGACGAACATTTATATGTGCATTGTTTTAGGTAACTACACCTGCTCACTGAAGAAAAAAACAGCATAGTATCATAATGAAAGGCCCCAAACTTAATAAAAACAAAGTTTTACCTTCAAAATGTTTATAAGAGGAAAAATCAAAAGATTTTTTAAAATTATTTTTTTAATTCTTTCTAACACGTTCGAAATTTTATATAGCATGGGACTGCCATATTAGGGACACATCAAAACCGATTTTTTTATTAAAAAAAGGCAAAAATTTCTGGAAGAAATAAATATAATATGAGAAAAAACACATTCAAAGCAATTAAAAGCTTTTCTAATTAAATAATGTCGTAGTTTTATTGCATTTATTATTTTACAATTCAGAGCAAATTTTTGGTGATTTTTTTACACTTTCTTAAAGAGTCCTGCTTTTAACTAATAAAAATGCCCGCCCTAAAAATTGAATTTCGTGAAATTTCATGAAATTAAGTGGGTGGTAACAGATGTAAAAAAAGAAAAAATTAAGATTTATTAAGATTTAAAAAAAAAAAAAATAATAATTTAATTCATTTCTGAATATGTCCT